CCATGGCCATCACCTAGACTAGGTCCCTGCTCCCTCATCAGGGCAGTCAAGGCCAGGAGAACCTCCCAGGAGCCCAGCTGTGTAGCTGGGAGGAGGTGCAGCCAGGGAAGCTCGGAGGCTCCCTTACTTTACTGCCTTGGGTTATTCCAAAACGCAGCCCCTTTCAGCTCTGCCAGAGACCAGGTCCAGTTCCCGTAAAAGGGAAGGAAACAGGGGTGGGGGTGGGGCAGGGACCCCAGGACAACCACTGGGTGTGAAGTCTTCCTTCCTATTACAACACCAGTTTCCTCCAGTCCCTGTCATCTGGATTCCAAGTGATTTCTTCCCCTCCCGCCATGTGGCCCAGCCTAGGGGAGAAGCACCTGAGCAAACAGGCACCCTCTGCGTCCCCAAGGCCTAGGTGCTGAGGGCAGTACGGGATGGAGTCAGGAGCGGTGGGGGATGTGACAGCAGCTCTGCTTAGAGGCCACTTCTGCTTTCAGCACGCGCCATGCCCTCCTTGCCCGCCCTGGCGGAAATGCTCACCACCCCCCCAACCTAGACTTAAAAAGGAACCGAATGTGACTGTGAAACCCTCTGCTGGGGCTGAAACCAGAGCACTCACTTCCTTCTTTCTAAAAAATACTATTACGTTTAGAAATGAGCCACGCTGCTCCCAGATAGGCTGCGAAGACATCATTTCGCGTGTGTGAGTCAGAGCGGGCAAGCCCGCTGCCCCGTCGCACAGCAAGGAGGAGGCAGTCTGGCCCGGCCGGCCCATAGCGTCTCTTCTGCGCACAGTCTTCCTGCAAGCTGACGGAAGCCAGCCTGCAGGGGGTTTTTCCAACTCCTCTGTTATCTCGAAGAAGTCCAGTGAGGACAGGCGGGACGTCTGTTCACTAGGGCTCCCCGGGATCAGCGGGGGGGAGAGGACCCACCACCCAGCTCCCGAAGTGCCCACCTAGACCCCTTTTGCCTCTGCTCCTTCTCGGATGGGCAATGACCCAGATCAGGCTTGTCTGCTTCTTTTTACCCGTCTAGTCTAGACCTCTGGAAAGTCCATCCTGAAGTCTCCTTATAGCACAAACCGTCCCCTCCTAATAGGTCTCAGGGGGTCAGTCAAAGACTTCCAGAGAAGTCATCTTCCGGTAAGGCAGCTGACCCGGACCCTGGAGGTGCACCCCTTCCACAGAAGTCAGGATAATATTAATAGAAGGGGGCTTCTTAGGCTTCTCGATGGACACGAGACCCTGTGGTCTTGGCTCAGTTTTCACGGGGTCAGGCCGGCTGGCATCCAGGTGTGACTGCCCTGCATACACACAGCAGGAAGACGGAAAACTAGAGGCACTGGCCATAGAGAGAAGTGACCCCAGCTGACCCTGGACCCAGCCTGGGGACATCTGTGCTGTGGTGCCTGTCTAATAATGGGCGAGGGAGCTGAACAAGGACCCCCAGGGGCTAGTGTGCCCCCTCCCACCTCCCCCCATGTCTGGAGCCCTGCCTCCTCCACATGTGGATCCAGAAGCTGCAGAAGGTGGGGTGCAGGGGGACACGGGTAGGAGGAGGAAGAATATGGGGAGATTCTAGTCCCTCCCACTTAGAGATGTGGTCGCCATGGTGACTGAGGACCAGTGAGGTGGGATGGGGTTGGGGATGGGGGGCGGGGGTGTGGCAGGACTGAGCACTGGGAGACGGAGAGCCTGGCATTCCAGGGGGAGGGAGACGCGGCAGCATCCCCAAGCTCCAGGTAAGGAAGCAGGAGAACTGGCAGTTCTGAGAGGAGAGGGCGGGCCATTGTCTGGTGCTGGCTCTGCCCTGAGAAGGGGGCAGGCAGAGGGGTCTGGCCATTGTGTGTGATATTCAGCTCAGCCTTCCAGCACTAGTCAGACTGGAGGGGGAAACCTGGGAGGTGTTGGGTGGGTACGGGGTTGGAGGGGTTGAGCTGGGCAGGTGGCGAGAAAGCTGAGAGACAGCAGGGGGAGGCGGTGGGGGGATCCTGAGGGCACAGAGGCTTGGGGACAACCCTAGTGCGTTTCACGCGGAAGGCACTTAAGAAATATAAGTTCCTTTGACTAGGCTGTGATTATGAAATGAGGGCAACGATGGGCAGGGAAGGTGGGGCTAAGGAAGGGGAAGCAGGAAGCTGATGTTCTCCAGGACTGTGCTCTCTGGGGCTGCCCCTGAGGCTGGAAGCGAGACGGGGGAGGGGACACTGGGCCTGCGGGGTGAAGCCCGGAGTGGCTTCTCTCCTGGCTCCAGGAGCCCCTCCTTTAGTGAGGTATCCATGCTCCAGGGGTGCAGCAGAGACAGAGCCCTGGGGTGAGCATGGGATAGGGATGAAGAATGACATCGAATCTCCCCTCCCACCCCCACCCCCACATCTGGATCTCTACCCCAGGGCCAGAAACCCCAGCAGGAAGGGGATACTCTTTGATGTGGTCTAGGGGCTGTGTGGGAGGAGTCCCTAGAAGAGCTGGACCCTGGGGGTGGGGTTGAACTCAGCGTTGTTGTCAAGGGGATCCCCACACTGGGCTCCAGGGCTTGGGGAGAAAGGAGCTGGGAACCCCTACATTAAGCTCTGAACTGACAGCACCCCTTCAGCGTGGTCCCTGAACATCTGACCCCCCCCCCCCCACTTCAACCGCTGCCCGACTCCAACCCAGCCAAGGCACTTCTGCTTTCTGGTCTTGGTTTCTTCATTTGTACAAGCTGATGGGGCCCGTCAGCTCAGAGCTTTCTTTACACTGTAGGCAGGACCTGCCACATCATCTGTGGGGTTCAGTGCAAAGTGAAAAGGTGGGACCCCTTTTTCAAAAATGATCGAGACTTTCAAGACAGCTGCAGTAGAGCACTGGGTGGAGCATGGGCTGAGCTCTACTGAACAGGGTGGGTGGGCCCTTCTGAACAGGGACCTGAGTGACTGACTTCTCTGGTCATGTGCTCATGAAGCCAGCCCTAGAGGTGGGCTCTCCCAGCTGCAGCAGCGGGATGGCAGTGTGACTTTGAACCAGATGCCAGGGGCTTGAGTGCAAGAGGGGCAGTAGGTAGGGCACAGACAGCCCTGTCTCCCCCTGAGGCCTGTCGTGGAGCAGGACCAGTGGGCCTTGTGGAGGCAGGAGGTGGCATCTGATGGCCTTTCTTCACAGAGTTTTCTGTTCCCTCCTGAGTCAGGAACCACCCCAGAGACACTGTTTCTGAGCCCAGAGGGGCTGGAGCTGGCTGCCCTCTCCCACTTGTTTTCTCCATCCAAGAGGCTAAGTGAGTTTCCTGGACTAAAGTAGGAGTAGGACTCCAGAGAGACAGTGTAGCTAAGGAATTACTTGTTGTTTTTAAAGCTTTTTTATTTATTTTAGAGAGAGGAAAAGGGAGGGAGAAAGTAAGAGAGAGAAACATTGATGTGTGAGAGAAACATCAATCAGTTACCTCTTACTTGTCCCCAACTGGGGACCTGGCCTGCAGCCCAGGCATGTGCCCTGACCAGGAATCAAACTGGCAACCCAACCCACTGAGCCACACTAGTCAGCGCACTAAGGAATTAGCTTTGAATGAGGCTGATCTGAGCTGAACTTGGTTTTCAGTTGTGTAACCTCCCGGAATCACCTTCCTCATCTGTAAAATGGGATCTTGGTGGTACCTATCTGCTAAAATTGTTGGGTAGACCACAGCCTGACAGTGCAAATGATTGCTATTGGCTGGAGGGGCTGGGGAAAAGGAGGCCTGGGACTGGAAGAAGAATTCCTGGGTTTCTGGAGAAGAAGGAACTAGGAGCAGGAAATTAATCTAACACACCCAGAGAGGCCAGAACAGGGCATCGGGCTTGGATGGGGGGCTGGAACTTACCACCTCACTAGCCCCCAACAGAACTTCTCATTCTCCCAGCAACGCAGACACATCAGTCTGTTTCAGCAGAGAGGCCCAGGGGCAGGGTAGTCTCCCAGCTCTGACCTGGGGTCTGGGTGGGATTTTCCCTTGACTCTGAGAATCAGGAAGACTTTCTCCGGGGGCTTGGTTCATAGCTTCTCCCACAGACCCGGCTTCCAGCCTCCGGGAGAGTCTGAGGGAGCCTTGACAGAAACCATTGTCAGGAGGGGTCTGGCTGGGACCACGCTTCAGGGAAATTGAGGGAGAATGAGAGCAGAAGAAAGAAAGAAGGCCAAACAGCCTTCGAAAAGAAATTCTTCTAAGGAAAAGCTCAGGCTTTTCACCCTGCAGGCTGGGGCTGTGACGAGAGGGATGGAAGTTATACTACAGGAAGGACTTCCTGGCTGTGCGGAATGTGCACTTAAGAAGGAGGTGGGTTATTTATTAGAGTCGGATTTGCCTTGGGATGGCTGTGCTCTTTAACTAGCAGCTGGCTGTCTGGGGCTGAGTGGGCAGGAAACTACCCCTTTTGTAGGTCATGGAGCCCTTGGTGCTAGGTGCACCATTAACCCTGCATTACGAGGCTCCCCTGGGCCCATCAGGGAGGGGTGAGCAGCCACCATGGGGGCGGGTGTTGGGTGCCTCAGAGGTATGTTCAGAAGTATAAGCTCACATGGAAAATTTTCTGGGCCTCCTACTAGCCCGATGCTGCCCTAGGAGTGACAGAGATTAGACCGCAGGGGAGAGTTTCTCATTGAAGCCACAGATAAGAGTCCAATGCAATTGTTTTATTTTTGAAAGACTATGGCTCAGCTGGAAGTGGGAAGTTTGAAGGTTAGACCACTGCAGGGACTTCCCAGTAGGTAGGAGTGGAGAGACCGCCCCTCGTGGGTAACTGAAAGAAGGAAAATGAAAGAGAGCGTTTGTCTCCTGTCTGGGAAATCTTGAGCAAGAGGAGAAACCACTACTAGGCTGGTTAGACTATATGTGACATAACAGAGGGACAGGAAAATGGCTGAAATGATTTAGAAACTTTCTTGCCTTTTGAACTTTCTGGATAGACAGAGGTGAGAGGAGGGGGAAAGAGAGAGGTGTGTCTCCTTTTATTCCCCTCCCAATTTATCAACTTCCGCCCAAGCCTGGGATCTGTCACAACTCGAGAGGTGGAAATTCTGGTTTCCCTTGCCCAGAACTCCCAGTGCTAGCTTTGGCACGATGGGTAGCTGGAGGGTCTCACTCCTGGCCCAGCCGGGCTGAGCCTCTGTCCCCTGCCTCTGGGGCCTGGAACCCCCACTCACCTTCTTGCTTTTGGATGGCACCTCCGTCCGAGAGTCCAGACACCGTGGCTGGCTCAAGGGTAGGTGAGATAAGACGGGTGGCTAGGGGTCAGCGGTCCTGGGGAGAAGTTTATCTGGAGACCTAAGGAGACAGACAGCAGCAGCACAGAGTCCAGAGAGAGGGTGGGAGCTGCAGAGGCCGGGAGACAGCTGCCACAGCCTGCCCCGGGCCACTTCCCAGGCAATGCTCTTAGCCAGGTTTGGTGGGCTGCAGTCTCATGGCCTCCCTACAAGAAGAGGGCCGAGCAGGCCTGAGCATCAAAGACCCAAGCCCAGCTGGGGTTGGGGCAAGGTCAGAGCAGCTGATTCAGACCTGTGCCTGCGTGGGTCTTCACAGGAGAGGGGTAAATGTGAGAGACAGGGCATCCGAATGATCCAAAAGAGCCAGGAGAGTCAGGTCTGAGGAATTTATATTTGAGCATAGGAATCTGTCTTCCGGAAAGTCTCCTGCCTGGGGCCAGGCAATGGTTTGGGCTCTTGGTGATGGGAAGAAGGCAGACAAAGAGTAGACAGCAAGTAGGACTTCCCTGAGAGTAAGGTGAGAAAAGGCAGAGCTGGGCTATTGTGAAAAGAGATCAGAAGGGCAGGATGGGGAACAACCGGACTCCTACCCAGAGGGGAGAGTGAGGCCACAGGCTGAGGCCTGTGAGGATGATGGAAGTGAGACTTCCCAGGGCCTTCTGGAGAGGAAACTGTCCCCTTCCCTAACACCCTCCCCTTATGTACTTCTGCTGCCTGGGGCTCTCTGATTGGTCCCTAGTGGGGGGATGTGGTAAGAACTGTTAACTCAGAGACTGCCCCTGTGCCTGTTTTCTAAGAGCCATCTGGTGACAGCCTCTGGCTGAGCATGGCCCTACCAGCCCTGGGCCTGGACCCATGGAGCCTTCTCGGCCTTTTCCTCTTCCAAGTGCTCCTCCTGCTGCTGCCAACAACGACAACAGGGGGCGGTGGGCAGGGGCCCGTGCCCAGGGTCCGATACTATGCAGGTAAGTGTTCGGTGGCCAGGAAGTATGGGGATGGCGACAGCGAGCTGGGGGCAGGGGGGTGTGGAGGAAGGAGAGAAGAATGAGGGGAGGGGGAGAAAAACAGACTTGGAGAAACAGAGAGATATGTTAGGGAGAGATAGATGGCCTCGGAGAGAGATAGACAGACAGACAGAAATAGAAGTTCAGACTGAGACAGAGAGAAGTGAGAGATGAAACCACTTGGGGTGAAGATTAAGGAAAGAGAGAAGAGAGGCCAGGGCATCACTCCTTCTGGTTCTCCAAAACTGGTGGGTTTCTTTTCCCTCCTTAAATGTCACCAACGTCACACTGGGCACCTAAAACCTGAAACTGCTTTCATGCCCCTAGGTGCCCTCAAAGCCAAGGCCCATGCTAGAAAATCATCTGTGGTCCTGGTGACTCAGGACGCTCCAGGTCTATGACCACACAGATCATGCTGGACAGTGCTGTGTCCAGTACAATGGACACCAGGGATATGGGAACTTAGGGTGACCCACTGGATTGCAGGCCCCAGGACCCTGTGGGCACAGCTTGGCTGCTTTCTTACTGAGGCTGTGGCACTGCTGGTCCTCTCACCTCCAGGAAGAAGGTTCAAGGATGGACACGGACCCTGTGGGAGTAGTAGGGGCAGGGGATCCTGGGTATTTAGCATCTTTCTGGGGCATTGTGGTAAAGGAAATGAATGTTGCCCATTGATGGAGAGGCCGGCTCTGTGTTGGGTGCTGGGATTACCAACGTAATCAAGACTCAGCTCCTGCGCTGCAGGTGCCTGTAGTCCTGAGGGGAAGCCAAAGAGCAATCAGACAGTCATGCTACAGGGTGGTTCTTCCCTAACAGAGGGGTTTGCACAGTTGTGGAGGAGGCCAGGTCTTCCAGAGCTTTGCCACACACTCTCCCAACTCCTCCTGCTGGTCTTGTCTAAGGCTCTGAGACTTCAGAGGTAATAATTAGCTGTCAGGCCTCTAACTGGTGCAAAGTACAGATGTGCCCATGAGAGAGGGTTTGAGGAGCTCCTTCCCCCTCGCTGATGGCCAGTGGGGCAGGAAAACACACATACCCCATCGCTGCACCAAGGTGATAGAGAGGACCTCGATGAGCCACCTAGGCTCATGTCTCCTGTCCAGGTGACATCCAGGCATGCCCATGGGGCCTCTGAAGAAAGATCTTTTCTTTCTGTTCAGCCTATGGCAGTGATTCTAGGGGTGGAAATTTCCTGCAGTAGAGGAGAGGAAGGAAGTGGGGTAGGTGAGTGGGACCCTGCCACCCACTCAGACATGCAGTTTAGTCTGTGTCTAGCCATCCTGCTGGTGGCTGCCAACACTGTCCTGTCTGTCTATATGCCTTCTGCACCCCTGCCAGTGAGGACCCCCGATCCTTCCCCTAACGCAGCCCCCAGGCCCGGAAGAGCATTCCTCATGCCTCACTTTAAATCCTGTCCCTTTGTCTGTCTCTCAGGTATGGGCCACCCTCCCCTGGCCCCAGGCTGTCATAGCCCAGTCTTTGGCTGCCTCTCCTCTCTTTTGTGGGCTCAGCACACAAAGGTCCTGTGGCTATCAGCAGGGCGGGAGTGAAGGGGCGGCTTGCTGAGGAAGGATGGGTCCAGCCGCCAAGACCTGGGGAGCATACTCTGCAAACCTTTCCCTTCCCCCACTTTTATGTCAGTAATCAGCTGCTCAGCAATCAGGAGGAGGCAGCTGCCCCCCAGCAGCTCCTCCTCACTCACACCTTCTCACCGCCACTCCACAGGGGATGGACGCAGGGCTCTCAGCCTCTTCCACCAGAAGCACCTCCAGGACTTTGACACTCTGCTCTTGAGTGGTGATGGAGGCACTCTCTATGTGGGGGCCCGAGAAGCCATTCTGGCCTTGAATATCCAGGATCCAGGTGTGCCAAAGCTAAAGAGCATGGTGAGGAGGCCTGGGATCAAGGGAGTGGGCTGGAAGTGAGGAGGGGCCAGCAGCATCCTGTGCCTGGACAGCCTATGGGGGAATAATTGCCCAAATTCTTTTATTTATACAGTTGACCTTTGAACAACATGGGCTTGAACTATGCAGGTCCCCTCATATGTAGATTTTTAAAAATTAATATACAGTTGGCCCTTTGTATTCCAGGCTTTCCCATCCTTGAATTCCACCAGCATTTTCAGTCCCCAGTTGGGGACCCTGGACGCAGAAGGAGGACAGTATGCGCTGTCCTGCCCTTCTTTATTGCATGTAGGGACTTGAGCGTCCATGGGAGTCCTGGGGCCAATACCCCATGGATACTGAGGGGCAACTATAGTGAAGTTTGGGGGAGTTAAAACTTATACGTGGATTTTTCGCTGTACAGAGGGGTTGGTGCCCCTAACTCCCATGTTGTTCAAGGGTCAACTGCATTCAGCAATAATCAGCAACTCTTTTTATGTATGTCTGGTTCATATAACAGACCAGAAATACTATAGTGGCCTCACTGTTCATTGGTGTCATGATCACTAGTTGAATAATATTAATTGCTAAAATGGCTATGATGGAAAATATTGACACATGAGAGAAACATTGATTCAAATTGTATCAATAATGTGATATCCACCCACTGATAGGAATCACTGAAGCTTCCGTGGTAAATTTTACTCACCCTGCTAATGGCAACAATGTGAGGGAGAAAGGGAGAAGGACGGAAAAAGGGGAGGGAGGGAGGGAGGGAGGGAGCTGGTGATTAGGTAGTGTCTCCACAGTCCATGTTGATCAGTGTGGTCTGTGGGCTCACACATGCATACTGGTTAAAAATGCACATTTTCTGAGGTGTGATGCAGGAACTGGTATGTTTAACCATTTTTGTAGGAAATGTGTGGTTTGACAACTGCTGCTTTGTACACCATGCATTGCCTTAGGTGCTTTACATATGCCACTTAATTGTGCCTCCAGAAGCCTATGGAATTGACCAAGATCAAATAATTGATAAATGTCTGAGCCTAGACTGAAACTCAGGTCTGATTCTACAGGTCATGTTCTGGCATGGAGCTGATCTTAATGAATAATAGTATCACCAAAGTAGTAGTTCTGGTCACCAACTGATGTTATTATAGCCCATCAGTAGGCCACTAACCACCAGGCATGCTGTGATATCACACCAGAGCCAAGGAGGGGGTGGCAAGTCAAAGCTAGAGGTGAACACCTCATACCCCTCATATCCCTCCTTTCATCTCTCTTCTTCAGATACCCTGGCCGGCCAGTGACAAAAAAAAGAGTGAATGTGCCTTTAAGAAGAGCAATGAGGTAAGCAGAGGTGGGGATATAAGGGCCCTTGAATAGAGAACCCTGGTGACCCCAGACCATCACCTCCAGTGGGGCAGGCAGCAGAGACTGCTTGCTTTAATGATTACTGCCTGCATCATGTTCTATGAAGACATATGCAGACCACCTCAGCATTGCCTAGCTCTTCTCCCCACTAGGAAATAAGGGAGCTTTGGAGTTTGGGGGGCCCAGGAGTTTAGGGCAACTGATCTAGAGGCCTGAATTCTCTATCTCTTTCAGACACAGTGTTTCAACTATATTCGAGTCCTGGTCTCTCTCAATGCCACCCACCTCTATGCCTGTGGCACCTTCGCCTTCAGCCCTGCCTGTACCTTCATTGTGAGTTACTTGGCACCCCGCTGTCGGTCCTAAGCCTCCCTCTTCATGTCGACTCCCAGCCCATCTTCTGCAGCTCTGGAAACCTCTGGTCTTTCAGATGCAGAACTCTTGGGAGTTTCCTGGTCCCAGACAAATTTCCCCCCTATGTTCCTTTCCCTTCCTCCCTCAATACCCCTTGTTTTCCAGACATGAGGCCCTGGCATTCTAGTGTCCCATCCTCTCTCCACAATAGGAACTCCAAAACTCCCGCCTTTTGCCAATCTTGGAGGACAAGGTTGTGGAGGGGAAAGGCCAAAGCCCCTTTGGCCCTTCCCATAGGCACACAGCTGTCTTGGTAGGTAAGTATCAGGTTCCCTGGTCCATCCCAACATCTGCTTTCCCAGGTCACTCTGTGACATATGGAATCTGACGGAGTTTTCTGGAAGGCAGGGGACTGAGGGAGGGACAGCCAGGGAGCTCAAAGCACAAGATCAGAGGAAGAATCAGGCACTCTACCCACCAGCTCCTGCTGAAGCTGCTACAAAGTAGGGGAAGAGAAATGGCTGTGGAGAGATTCATAGAGTCAGGAGGGGCAGGAAAAGATTCATTCAATTGTTCAACAAATGGGCACTACGTGAACACTTCCTGTGGTAGGCCAGACATTGTGCTGACAACTTGTAGGGGTTACAGAGAAGAAATCAGCCCTGAGCCCTCCCGGACACAAACCATGACAGACTTCCCAACCAGGCTTCTTGGAGGAGGTGGCCTTTGGCTTTTGAGTGGGACCTTGAAAGACAGGTAGATGGGAGGGGAAGGTGTTCCAGGAAGAGAAGGGTGGGAAGAGAAGGGTGGGACCCAAAGTGTGGAAGCAGAAGACACAGTGAGGCAGAGGAACAGTGAGTGATTCTACTTGGCAAGTGGTTCAGCTGGGTGTGTTGGGGAGTAGCCAGAAAAGGGCTGGGAAAGTGCCCAAACACAAAAGGCCAGGCGGGTTGGCCATTTCCTACGGGCAGAAGGACCTAAAAGTGGTGCTCAGTGAGGACTGCGAGCTGGGCTTTGAGGGTCCACAGGAAGGTGTAGAACAAATGAGACTGATGTGCATGCTGGCCCCAGACAGGCAGGTCTGAGGGGGCAAGGCACCTGCCAACTGATGAAGTCTATGCCTCCTTCCCCACCAGATGGGATGCTCTATTCTGGCACCATGAACAACTTCCTGGGCAGTGAGTCCATCCTGATCCGCACGCTAGGGTCCCAGCCTGTCCTCAAAACGGATAATTTCCTCCGCTGGCTGCAATGTAAGAACTCGAGCCCCACCCAGCACAGGTCTGGTCCTCTTCTCTTTCCCCGTGTCCCGCAGACCTGGCAATTCAACTCTCATGTACTACAGGCAAATTGCGTTCAAGGCAGTACTGTTAGTCGGTGGGGATAGAACAAGGAAGGAGACAAAGCTCCCGTCCTCATGAAGATTTCATCTTACCTAAATAAAGAAGTACCAGTCCCCTTCCCCTCACCCTCATACCACGGCTACCCTCTATCAGCTGTGGGACCCGAGGCATCCAGTCTCCTGGCCTCCAGAGCCAACTTAAGAGTTTTCATCAAGGGAAAAAAACCTAGGACATCCAGGTGCTCAGTCCTTAAGCCTATCTGCCTCCCCCCCCCAAACCCCGCCGCAGCGGACGCCTCCTTTGTGGCAGCCATCCCTTCTACTCAGGTCGTCTACTTCTTCTTTGAGGAGACAGCCAGCGAATTTGAGTTCTTCGACAAGCTCCGCACGTCCCGGGTGGCCAGAGTCTGCAAGGTCTGTCCCCTGGGTGGGAGGCGGGGCTGACTGTGGAGGAGCCAATGGGGAGATGGCAGAGGCGGGGCTCAGAGCCCAGAGCCCAATGGTAGAGGGAAAAGGCGGGTTAGGGGGAGGGGACACGTGGAGCACCGCGGGTCCCTGACTCTGCCTGGTTCCTAGAACGACACCGGCGGTGAAAAGCTTCTGCAGAAGAAGTGGACCACCTTTCTCAAGGCCCAGTTGCTATGCTCCCAGCGGGGTCAGCTGCCCTTCAACGTCATCCGCCACGCCGTCCTGCTGCCGGACTCCACCGATCCCCAAGTCTACGCAGTCTTCACCTCTCAGTGGTGAGCTCCTGAGCGAGAACTTGGGGGCTGAATGCGGGGTCTGAGACCAGCACGGATCGCTGCCCTGGGTCGCCACGGGTGGGCGGGGTGAAGGCTAGGAAAGGATGTGAGTGGAGCACAGATCCTCACCACCTCCTAGGAATTCGATTTATGCTCTTCATGTAGCTGGGAAAAATAAAGCTCAGAGAGGTTCTTAATAGTTTATAATCCTGCCTGGTTCCAAAAAGGATAGGAGGCAGCTTGAAAAACACAACCATTTAAAAAAATAAATAAACAAATAAAATAATACCAATAGGGAAATGGGAATAAAAGGGGAATAAGAGAAGCCAAGATCAACACATCACAAATGCTTGGCATTTGTATGGTCCCTGGATTCCAGTCACATATTTAGCTCTAAACTTCCTAATGGCCAGAGCAAGGAGGGAAACACCATCAGCATCTTAAGATAAAACATGTAGCCGTTACTTGGAGGCTAAGAAAGACTAACTGATTTGCTGTGGTCTGGCTCCACAGCATGTTAGAGACCTACTGAAAATGCGTCAGCCCAAAGGTCTGGTGTAAGCGAGGTCTGGTATCTACGACATCCAGAACTTAGAGCATGGTGTGCGCCACAGTTAAGTCAGTGAGAACAAGAAAGTCACACCTGTTTCCATAGACCAGGGCTGCAGGAACAAAAATACTCTTGTAGTCAGGCTCTGGTTCATTCTCTGAGGACCAGGAATCCGGGGACCTAAAGGAGGAGGACTTCTTCTGGAGTCTGTCAGGAAATGGTACACTGCCCTTCCCATAGCTATAACCCCAGGACCTGAGCCCCAGTTAATTCTCTTTAAGGACAATCACACTGAGGACGCTAAGGTGGGCTAGTGGGCCCTCCTAGCCCTAACCACCATAGCTAGAGGAAGGAGAGGCAGCTGGAGGCTGGCCCAGCCCTCCACATTCCTGCCCTCCTGGGGTTTTTCACCAAGGGTGGGCCAGGGCTAGAGGAGTAGCTTCCTGATATAGTAAAGGAGATCACAATGTCCCCCCTGACTGTTTCCAGGCAGGTTGGAGGGACCAGGAGCTCCGCTGTCTGTGCCTTCTCTCTCAAAGACATTAAGCGTGTCTTTGAGGGAAACTTCAAGGCGCTGAACAAAGAGACCTCACGGTGGACTACTCGCAGGGTCCCTGATGATATCAGTCCTCGGCCAGGCAGTGTGAGTACCACCCCCCACCCTGGGCAAAGCCCTTCCTTCCCCACAGAGACGCACACATAATGCATTTATCAAAGTACTTATCACGGCACAATCAATGCCCAGTAATATGAATGCTCCCCTCCACCGCCTCCAGTCCCATCTGGTCCACCTACCCAGGTTCCACAGGGGTCCCGCCCTGTCCTACACACACCGTAGCCCCTTCCATCCAGCTCAGTACAACACAACCCCCGGGTCTCACACTGAGGAAACCAGGGAGCGTTGGCTGTGCCGGGGACTGTGTTGGGCATCTTCACTTGCATTTCTCATTCCACTTTTGTTTTTTTTTAAGATTTTATTTATTTATTTTTAGAGAGGGAAGGGAGGGAGAAAGAGAGAGAGAGAGAAACATAAATGTGCGGTTGCTGGGGGCCGTGGCCTGCAACGCAGCCATGTGCCCTGACTGGGAATCGAACCTGCGATGCTTTAGTTCGCAGTCACTTTTGTTTTTTGATCAGAGTTGTATATGTACACCATTTAAAGAACCATACAGATTTACATTGTTGGTTACAAAAAGAACAGCCCTATTCCCTACCCTCCACTTTTCCCTTTCTAGAGAAAACCAATTTCAGTTCTTTTAGCAATCCTAAATAATATATTTTTATTGTTATATCTTTTTATTTATTTATTTTAAAAAACATTTTATTTATTTTTAGAGAGAGGGGAAGGGAGGGAGGAAAACATCAATGTGTGGTTGCCACTCACATACCCCCTAGTAGGGACCTGGCCCACAACCCAGGTATGTACCCTGACTGGGGATCGAACCAGCAACCTTTTGCTTCACAGTCAGGTCCTCAGTCCACTAAGGCCATGGTTATTGTTACATCTTGATATTTTGGTTTCAGGCAGTATCTATTGAATTTCCATTCTGGAAGGCAAGGATTTAATTTGTGTTCCCTCACCCAGTGGTACGTTACAGCTGGTTTACAGCAACTAGCAACTCTTTGCACATCCCTTCCCAAATTTATGTCCAGTAACATTACATCGGTAACTTGGAATCAACCATGTGAGAGTATAAACCATGGAATTCAGCAAACACTGCAAATCGGGGCTTCCTCCAACCCCTCACTCCAGAGCTGCCTTACCAACATTCCAGTGCACCCAGCCAGCACAGTTTTACAGTAATTTTGTTAGATCAATATTCATATTATAAGTCTTATTATTCACAAATCAGCCAAGTAGTAAAACCATGATTACTTTTCCTCTTGCATAAATTTTTATTTTCTTTTTTTTTAATTTTAAAAGATTTTATTTATTTATTTTTAGACAGGGAAGGGAGGGAGAAAGAGAGAAACATCAATGTGTGGTTGCTGGGGGCTGTGACCTGCAACCCAGGCATGTGCCCTGACTGGGAATCGAACCTGTGATGCTTTGGTTCGCAGCCCGAGCTCAATCCACTGAGCTATGCCAGCCAGGGCACATAAATTTTTATTTTCCCTGGGGTTACTAATTATGTTGGTGTTTCTTTGCTCACTTTGAATTCTAAGCTCTTATCTTTAACCCCAAATGTGTGTGTGTGGTTTTTTGTTTTTTGGGGTTTTTTTTTAGTGAAAGCTTATTAGTGAGATACAGAGTAGCTACTACAGACAGCAGCTAACCCCAAACTCTTACCAAATTACCTGAATCCCTTCTAAAGATAATTTCATCTTCCTGGAGTTCCTTCCAGCCTCCTGCAGCCTAGACGGCGCAGTCTAGTCAGGGGGTGCGTCTGCATCTGTGCTCCGCTGCCATTCTGGAATCTCCCTTTCTCATCATAATGGGCATTCCCTTTGCCTCTTTCTTGTGCTGATCTCATGTTTCTTGCACCTCATGACTTCTTCTTCTTCTTCTTTCTTCTTTTGTGAGGATAGTCTCTGTAGATTCCTAGATAGAGATACTTGGTGGTCAAGTCTTTTGAGAACTTGAATGTCTGAAAATGTCTTTATTCTATAATACTTTCACATTTGATAGGATGGCTGGGTACCTATACTTCTAGACTAGAAATAATCTTCCTTAAAAATTTTTGAAGACTTGCCCTGGCTGGTGTGGCTCAGTGGGTCGGGCATCACCCCACAAACTGAAAGGTCTCCAGTTTGATTCCCAGTCAGAGCACATACTTGGGCTGTGGACCAGGCCGCCCCTGGGGGGCACATGAGAGACAACCACATATTAATGTTTCTCTCCCTCTCTTTCTCCCTCCCTTCCCCTCTCTTTAGAAATAAATAAATAAATAAATACATAAATAAATAAAATCTTAAACAGACAAAGAAACAAAAAACTTTGAAGGCTTGCTCTATTATCTTCTAGCTTCCAGTGCTGCTGTTGAGAAGTCCCAAGCTATTCCAATCCCTAACTCTCCGGCTGTCACCTGATTTGCCCTCACAGGAGTCTAGGGCCTTTTTCTTTTTCTTTTTTTTTTTCTTTTTTTTTTGTCCCTAGCTGTTCTGAAATTTCACACTATTGCACCTTGGTGAATCTCTGTTCACTTATTGTGCTGGACATTAAATTTGCCCCTCCAGACTGGAAATTTAGTTCTTTCAGTTCTAAGAAGTTTTCTTGAACTAGTTCCTCCTATTTCATCCAACAAATATTTTTTGAGGCCGCTTACTGGTCTAGGCACCCAGGGTAGAGCAGTGAATGAAACAAGTCCCTTCCCTCATGAAGTGCCATTCTAATGTCAGAAGGTTTTTTTCTCTGCTTTGTATCTCCAAAATATAGGGCTTTAAAAACTACCTATAGTACCATTATCACAGCAAAAACTTAACTCCTTAATATAATATGCATTTAATTTCAAATTTCTAATAACCTTATAAAATATCATAAGAGATTTTTTAAACATAGTTTGTTTCTTGAGTCAAAACCTAAATAAGATCTATAAATTTGGATTGGTTGTTTAAGTCTCTTTTAATCTAGGTGTTCCTTTTCTACCTTCATTTTTTCTCTTGCAATTTATTTGTCATGTGGAGTTTTCCAGTCTGGATCTGACAACTTTGCATCCCCGTGGTGGGATGCAAGCCTTCTCTGTAAACTGGTGGTTGGGTCTAGAGACGTGATCAGATCGAAGTCGGAGCGGGGCGGGGAGACTGCTTCGTCATGGCAGTGTGCTCTTCCTTGAGGACATTCGTGATGTCCAGTTGTCCTCTTGAAGTCATAGCCTGCTCCTCTTTCTGTAGCATTACGTTCTTGTCTTGTGGGTATACTGTCTTCACTTATCTTTCTCATGATAGTAATGATACTTTGATGCAAAGGTTTCTTTTCTCCAAATCGTGTCTGTGTCCTCTTAAGTTTGTTTTTGTTCATTTTCCCTATTTGTTTGTTTGGTTCTCTTTTATGTTCATGGATTTGCTCACGTGTCTGGTAATCCTTGGCTATCTGCACATATTTAAGAGCAGGGGACCAGGAAGCTGTTTGGAAACTCTGTGCCCATGGGTGTGACTTGGCAACTTGAGCTCCACTGTAACTTTACTGTGGATGGTGTAGCTGGGCAGTTTTGTTGGGGACCTTCAATGTTAGTATCTTTAAGACTTTCCTCTGGGACCTTTAGTCAGTGTCCCCAGAGGAGACCCTTCTAGTCTTCTGCTTGGAGGGAGATGGTCTGGTTCCTGGTGTCAGGGCACCAAGAGGTATCAGGAAGGGGATTGGGTGTGGGGAAAAGTCTCAGCCTGTACTGTGCCTACCCGCCCTTAACCCCCCCAACTCCCACCCCACCCCTGCTTTCTTGTGGCGTCCCTCCCCAGCTGTGCCTGCTGTCTTCTGTCCAGGGAATAAACCTCCAGTCTTGAACCAGGGTGTGGAACAGATGACCACTGGGGTGGTTGGGGCTGGGAGGAGATCTACCTGCTTTTAAGCAAATTTTCTTTTTCTTTTTCTTTTTTTCTTTTTCAGAGAGGGGGAAGGGAGGGAGAAAGGGAGAGAAATATTGATGTGTAAAGAGAAACACAGATGGGTTGCCTCTCACACACTCCCAGCTGAGGACCTGGCCTGCAACCCAGGCATGTGCTCTGACCAGGAATCAAACCAGCAACCTTCTGGTTTACAGGCTGGCACTCAATCCACTGAGCCACACTGGCCAGAGATAAACAGATTTTCCAATAATTCTCTTTATTCAGCTCCCCTTTCACCCCACTTCCAGAGGTGACTGGGGCCACTAATTCATGAACTTTAGAAACTGTCTTGTAAATCAGATAGTTTTGGTTAACTCAGGGCCATCTTAAGAGGACTTTTTTTCCTGCTAAGATTTTTACTATTTGTTCACTTGTTTTCCAGCTTCCAAAATGTGGGGCTTTTGCCTCCTCTCCTGTTCTCCCCATCCCTGTAGGTTTGCCTTACAAAAAAAATCCCTTTGGGAGGAGGCAAGAATAGGTGCATATGCTTATTCTGGCACCAAAATGAGACATAGATGGTATTATCTTACTTTACAGGTGAAGAAATTGAAGCTCATAGAGGCAGGGTAACTTGTTTGAGGACACAGCTTGTAGGCGACAGTGTTGGGGTTGGCCCTAAGACAGTGTTCTTGGGCCTGAAGGGCAAGGATCCTGACTAAAGATCATAAGACGGGCACCCCAGGAGCTCCAGCACGCTGGTGTTGGCAGGGCCTCAGAGAACAGCCAGTTCAACCCCTCATGTTATGTATGAGAAAAGGAAGCCCAGAATGGAGAAGAAACTCTCCCAGAGTCACGCAGCAAGTTCATGCAAAACCTTGATAAGAAACACTCCCTGCTACACCACCCCTTTATGTGACATCTTTCACTTAATCACTGACTCAGCAAACATTTATTGGGCACCAATTCTGTGCCATGTCCTGGTTAGCGCTAAGCCTGGGGCTATAGACATGAGTAAAACAGGGCCCTTGACTGCAAAGGGCCCTCACCCTGCTTCCTGCTGGCTGCCAGGCATCCTTGATGAAGGTGAGGAGAAGGAGGAAAGTCATAATAGCTAACATTTATTGAGTCCTTTATTCATGCCAATCACTGATCTAGTTGTCATGTATTTTACTGTTCATCCTCACAGCAACCCTATCATGTATTGGTAATGTGCCCATTTTACTGTTAAGGAATCTCAGGCACACAGAGGCTGGAATTCAAAGCCAGGCAGCTCCAGAGTCTGAACTTTAACCACCATCTGGAGATGAGGACTGCCCTGAAGGAAGGAGGCAACAGAGATTAGCAGAGGGGGAAGAAGGGAGGGAAGAGGCAATGGGCGAGCTTATAGGAAGGGGAAAGCTGATCTGGTCTGCCTTTTTCCCCTTTAGTGCTCAGTGGGCCCCCCCTCCGATAAAGCCTTGACCTTCATGAAGGACCACTTCCTGATGGATGAACAGGTGGTGGGAACGCCCCTGCTGGTGAAGTCGGGTGTGGAGTACACACGACTTGCAGTGGAGGCAATCCAGAGCCTGAATGGGAAGAGCCATGTGGTTATGTACCTGGGTACCGGTGAGTGAAGGACTCCAGGACATCCCTCAGGGAACTAGAGAAGAGGAGGGAAATCTTTGAGTTCATTCACCAATGCATTTATTCAACAAATGTTTTTGAGCACCTACTATGTGCCTATGTGCCTGGCATCCTGCCAGGCTCTGAAAATACAGTGAGGGAACAAAGCAGCCCAGTTGCTACCTTTTCTGAGCTTTCAGTCTGATTGGGGAGACACGCAGAAGGACTTTGGTGGCCTCAGCAAGAGCTGTTTATCTTTTGGGAGCAGCCATGTTAGAGAGGTGAAGAGTGAATGGGGAGAGGGGAGCTGGACACAGCAAGTGCAGAGATCATTTCTTCAGGAGGCTTGGCTGAGGAGGGAGGAAAGGAAGGAGGGTGACCAGAGGAGGGTAGGGGGTCCAGCCAGTATTCTCTTTTTAAATATGGGAAAGAGTGTCAGGATCCAATAGTGAGGGAGTTGGTGACAGATGGGCAGGCAAGGGGGTAACTGGCAGGTGAAGTTGCAGAGGGAGCAAGAAGCCAGATTCCAGGACACAGATGGAGCGACTGCCTGTGAAGGGAGGAGGGCCAGCCCTTCTGCAGGGGTGGGAGCAGGAGTAGAAGAGGAGTAAGACTGGGGAGAGGTATAGCCTGGAGGGTGGCCAGGAAGCAGAAGGAGCTTTTATGTGATGGCTTTTGTGTTCTCTATGAAGTAGGAGAACACAGGTCGTGATGTGGGGATAGGGGTGGAAACGGTGGGAGGTTTGAGGAGAGAGGGGTGGATTCAAATAGCCATTGTGGAAAGAAGGAGAGAGTCGCAGGAGAATGTAGAAGATTGCCAAGGAGATATATTGAGGACCTGATGAGGTGGATGACTTTGAGTTTTAGTGGAAGAAACCTCCCAGGTTTGTTCATTCTTTTAGGACCTGTTACTAGGCACCATATCAGTCGTGCATTTACAGGGCATACAGTAGAGAACAAAAGAGACAGAAAACTTGTCCTTGTGGAGTGCAGGGAGATAGACATTACACATACCAAGTCAATAATGTCAGATGTTATGAGATTAGAAAATTATTTGAACATGAGGGGGGATCATGAATGCCAGTCAGGGTGGTTGAAAACAATTTTTTAATGTTTTATTTATTTTTAGAGAGAGGGTAAGGGAGGGAAGAAAGAGTGGAAGAGAAACATTGAGCACCTGTCTCTCACACACCCCCAACCAGGGGGATCCGGCCAGCAACCCAGGCACGTGCCCTGACTGGGAGTCAAACCAGTGACCTCTGCAGGCCAGCACTCAATCCACTGAGCCACACTGTCCAGGGTGAAATTTTTAAAGGGTAGTCAGAATACACCTCAATGAAATGTCTCTGAGTAGAAACACTTGATGGAGGTGAGGGAGGCTGGTGATGTGATTTTCCACAGGAGTACTCAGCTTTCGACTGCCCCATGTCCACGGAGAATGTGGACAGTTGGGTCCTTTCAGGGACAGAGTTTCATCAGGTGGTACAAAGGGAGGACAGAGGGGTGGCGATTTTAAGCTATTTATAAGAGCACTCCATCTCTCTGGCACAGAAGGAAATGGCCTGACAGATATGCATCCAGTGTGTGTGACACTTCAGAAAGAGCTTCCTGACAGCTGTGGAGTCAGGGAGGGAGAGAGGAGGGGTCTGTGGAAGAGGTGAGACAATTGCAGCTCGCTCTGTCTCCCTACAGCCACAGGGTTCCTGCACAAGGCTGTGGTGAGTGGGGGCAGCAGAGCTTATCTGGTAGAGGAGATCCAGCTGTTCCCTGACCCTGAACCTGTTCAAAATCTGGAGCTGGCCCTGACCCAGGTAAAAAGAGACCTTCTAATGGAGCAGACCTAGGGTGCTGGGTTCTTGCTAGGTATGGTGGGAGCACCCTGACACTCTCCATCTCTCTTCTAGGGTGCACTGTTTGCAGGCTTTTCAGGAGGTGTCTTGAGGATTCCTCGAGCCAACTGTAGTGTCTATGAGAGCTGTGTGGACTGTGTCCTTGCCCGGGACCCCCACTGTGCCTGGGACCCTGAGTCTGGAACCTGCCGCCTCCTGCCCACCTCCATCCCGTGAGTGCCAGTCCTGGATGGCACCAGGGCCCTTTCTACCTGGCTTGTGTTCCTGTATTCCTTTCTCTACGGGCTACTGAGACATTCCTTTCTTTTAAAAATTTATTTATTATTATTTTAAAATATATTTTATTGTTTATACTATTACAGTTGTCCCATTTCTCCCCTCTTTATTCCCCTCTGCCCTTCACACACCCTCCCACCTGCACTCCTCCCCCTTTAGTTCATGTCCATGGGTTGTACATATAAGTTCTTTGGCTTCTCCATTTCCTATACTATTCTTAACCTCCCCCTATTTTGTACATATCATTTATACTTCTAATTCCCTGTACCTTTCCCCCAATTCGCCCTCTCCCCTTCCCTGCTGATAACTCTCCATGTGATCTCCATTTCTGTGATTCTGTTCCTGTTCTAGTTGTTTGCTTAGTTTTATTTGTTTGTTTGTTTGTTTGTTTTCAGGTTTGGTTGTTGATGATTGTGAATTTGTTGTCATTATACTGTTCATATTTTTTATTTTTTTCTTAGATAAGTCCCTCTAACATCTCCATAATAAGGGCTTGGTGATGATGAACTCCTTTAACTTGACCTTATCTGGGAAGCATTTTACCTGCCCTCCCATTCTAAATGATAGCTTTGCTGGATAGAGTAATCTTGGATGTAGATCTTTGCCTTTCATGACTTTGAATACTCCTTTCCAGCCCCTTCCTGTCTGCAAGGCTTCTTTGGAGAAATCAGCTGATAGTCTTAAGGGAACTCCTTTTTAGGTAACTGTCTCCTTTTCTCTTGCTGCTTTTAAAAAATAACATATTTTATTGATTACGCTATTACAGTTGTCCCATTTCCCCCCCCCCTTTATTCCCCTCCACTCTGCACACTCCCTCCCACCCACATTCCTCCCCCTTTAGTTCATACCCATAGGTCATACATATAAGTTCTTTGGCTTCCACATTTCCTATACTATTCTTAAACTCCCCCTGTCTATTTTCTACCTACCGTTTATGCTACTTGTTCTCTGTACCTTTTCCCCTTCTCTCCTCCTCCCACTCCCCCATTGATAACCCTCCATGTGATCTCCATTTCTGTGGTTCTGTTCCTGTTCTAGTTGTTTGCTTTGTTTTGTTTTTGTTTTAGGTGTGGTTGTTAATAATTGTGAGTCTGTTGTCATTTTACAGTTCATATTTTTTATCTTCTTTTTCTTAGATAAATCCCTTTAACATTTCATGTAATAAGGGCTTGGTGATGATGAACTCCTTTAACTTGACCTTATCTGGGAAGCACTTTATCTGCCCTTCCATTCTAAATGATAGCTTTGCTGGATAGAGCAATTTTGGATGTGGATCTTTGCCTTTCATGACTTTAAATACTTCTTTTCCAGTCCCTTCCTGCCTGCAAGGTCTCTTTTGAGAAATTAGCTGACAATCTGATGGGAACTCCTTTGTTGGTAACTGTCTCCTTTTCTCTTGCTGCTTTTAAGATTCTCTGCTTAACTTTAATCTTGGCTAATGTAATTATGATGTGCCTTGGTGTGTGCTTCCTTGGGTCCAACTTCTTTGGTTCTCTCTGAGCTTCCTGGACTTCCTGGAAGGCTATTTCCTTTGTTTAATTGGGGAAGTTCTTCTTCATTATTTTTTCAAATAAGTCTTCAATTTCTTGCTCTTCCTCTTCTCCTTCTGACACCCCTATGATTCGTATGTTAGAACTTTTAAAGTTGTCCTGAAGGTTCCTAGGCCTCTCCTCATATTTTTTAATTCTTGTTTCTTCATTCTATTCTGGTTGAATGTTTATCTCTTTTTTCTGGTCCAAACCATTGATTTGAGTCCTGGTTTCCTTCCCGTCACTGTTGGTTCCCTGTACATTTTCCTTTATTTCATTTTTCATAGCCTTCACTTTTTCCTGTATTTGTGACCATAATCATTTCTGTGAGTATCCTGATTACCATTGTTTTGAACTCTGCATCTAACAAGTTGGCTGTCTCTTCATTGCTTAGTTGTATTTTTTTTTGAGCTTTGATCTGTTCTTTCATTTGGGTCATTTTTTTTTTTTTTGTCTCAGCGCACCTGTTATGTAGTAAGGGGCGGAGCCTCAAGGTGTTCACCAGGGCAGGGCAACCCAGTCGCTGGGTTGTGGTGCTATATGTGTCGGGGGGGGGGGGTCCGAGAGGGAACAATGGTGCTTGCTCTGCTCTCTGCTGGATTTCAATCACTTCCCCTGCTTCCCACAAGCAAATTGGGCCCTTTTGGTGCTGATTCTCACGTGGGTGGGCTTGTGTACATTTTAGGACCCTGTGGGTCTCTCCAAAGAACTTTCCTGTGAGGCTGGGAGTCTCTCCCACTGCTGCCTCAGCCCCCACAGGTGTTTTCTTTTTTTTTAAAAGATTTTTATTTTCATTTATTTTTAGAGAGAGAAGGGAGGGAGAAAGAGAGAGAGAAACATCAATGAGTGGTTACTGGGGGCCATGGCTTGCAAACCAGGCATGTGCCCTGACTGGGAATCGAACCTGAGACACTTTGGTTCACAGCCCGTGCTCAATCCACTGAGCTCCGCCAGCCAGGGCTACCACAGGTGTTTTCAATCAGTGGTTTGAGGCTTTCTTTCTCTGAGCTGGGGCCCTGGATTGTGCGATCTGTCTCGCTTCCCAGTTGTTCCTCCCAGCTTATCTGCCCACGAATGTGGGACCTCCTGGTTCTCCAGTCACCACTTTGCTGCAAGTCCTCTCTGCTTGGCTGTCGGTCTCCACCCCTCCAACAGTTCTGGATGAATGTTTCTTCTTTAACTCCTTGGTTGTCAGACTTCCATACAGTTGGATTTTCTGTCAGTTCTGGTTGTTGTTGTTTTTAATTTGTTGTTGTCCTTCTTTTGGTTGTGTGAGAAGGCACACAGTATATCTACCTACTCCTCCATCTTGACCAGAAGTCTGAAACATTCCTTTCAACATCCCCACTCCTTTGTGAGCTCCTCCAAGGATGGGGTTTCACTCAGAACTTTAGAAGCTGCCCCAGCATCCTGGTTCTCTCCTCCTCTCTGTTCTATCTTGTGACCCCGTCTCTATCCCTCCTGCACACTCTGCCCGCCTTCTTCCCCACTGCTTCCTCTCTGCTCTGTTTGAAGGGATGATTTTTTATTTTCTTGCCTTCTCAGGGAGTCCTGGAGGCAGGACCTGGAGAGAGGGAACCCACAGTGGGCGTGTGCCAATGGCCCCATTGGCAGGAGCCTCCAGCCTCAGAGTCGCCCTCAAATCAGTGAGTGTGGGATCAGGGGAAGTGCAAAAGCTCGGGGGACTTCTGGGCAAGGGTAGGCATTCTTGCCTCAATGTCTTTCCCCAGCACCTGCCTGGCTTGAAACCTAAACACCCCGAGTTGGGATGATTTGGGTCCTGGCTGTTGGGAGAGGGGTAGGAGTTCTAAGTTGGGATTTAGGATTGAGGGTAAAGTTGGTTTCAGCGTCAGAGTTGGAGTCAGATGGGCTGGAAGTTAGTTTTGGGTCCAGAATGGAGATAGAGGAGGGGTCAGAGTTGAGTTTGAGAGTTGAAGTGGAGATTGGAGATGTTCACTGGAGTCTAAATGTAGGGTAGAGACACTCTCCTGCCTTTCTTATTCCCCAAATCCTTTAACCTTTTCTCCTGTTTCTTCACCTACAGTTAAGGAGGTCCTGGCTGTCCCCAACTCTATCCTGGAGCTCCCTTGCCCCCACCTTTCAGCACTGGCCTCTTACCACTGGAGTCACAGGAAAGCGACAGTCCCAGAAGCCTCTTCCATGGTCTGCAATGGCTCCCTCTTGCTACTACTGCGGGATGGGGTGGGGGGTCTCTACCAGTGCTGGGCCACTGAGAACAGCTTCTCATACCCTGTGGTCTCGTACTGGGTGGACAATCAGGATCATCCCCTGGCCCTGGACCCTGAACTGGCAGGCATTCCCCGAGAGCGTGTGGAGGCCGCACTGACCAGGATTGGTGGCGGGGCTGCCATGGCTGCCCAGCGGTCCTACTGGCCCCACTTCCTCACTGTCACTGTGCTGTTTGCCTTAGTGCTTTCAGGAGCCCTCATCTTCCTCCTCGTGTCCCCACTGGGGGCACTCCGAGGCCGGGGCAAGGTACAGGGCTATGAGACCAAGCCCCCGGGAGAGAAGGCTCCATTGAGCCGGGAGCAGCACCTCCAATTTCCCAACGAATGCAGGACCTCTGCCAGTGATGTGGATGCTGACAACAACCACCTGGGCGCCGAGGTGGCTTAAACTCTGGACACACACTGGGGCTGTGGGGGAGGACATGGCACCTAGCCATGCTGATTGGGAAGCCTGGAGCACTGCAGACCTGACCAGTGTGGGAGTAGCACAAAAGATCACCTTCCTCCTGTGAGAGTAGCTTCATTGCCTCTGTGCCACCAATAGCATTCAGCAGGCCTGGGCACAGTTGCTGGCTGACCTATGGAATTCCCTTCTACAAAGCACATGGGTTCTCAAGGGGAGCTGCTCCAGACCTGGACCGAGGCTATGATAGGACCTAGAGAGGATGCTTCAGTTCTGGCCATTCCAGGACCTCCAGAAACATGCTGTTCCAGGATCCTATGGTAATGAACACCAAACATCTGAACAACCATAAGATAGTGTGCCGCACCTGGAGACTCCACTCTGATAGCAGCTACCACCTTGGACTCCAACACTCCTGTCTCCCAGGGATCTTTAGGGCTCTGCAGGGAGCTGCCCTTTCCTGCTTCCATTATCAACTGTGTGCCACTGACGCCCTGGGAGGTTTTCCTGAAGTCTGACCACCTTCCTTTTTGCTTCAGTTGGTGGAGGTTGTGATCCCTTCTGGCCCAACTGGAACGACAGGGGTAATCTGAGACTTTACCCTGGCTGACCCTTTGACCTCTGTCCTCTCCCGTTTCCTTTGCTTTGGGATTCAGAAAACTGCTTGTCACAGACAGTTTATTTTTTATTAAAAAGACAAAGCTTATGACTGGTGCTGCTTTTGTCAGAGCAGAGTTCTCCAGCAGAGGACTGCAAGATGTAAGGGGAGCAGACGTGGAGGACATCGGTGGGAGGAGGGCCAAGTTTGTGAGCTGATTGTACCCTAGAACTCTGCTGCCCTGCCAGCTCCACCCTGAACCAGCCCAACAGCCCTTTCCTCCACTTGGGCAGTTGCTAGAGAGTGTCTCAGACTTTGTCTTTCAGTCCAATGCTCTGCCTTGACCAGCTTCAGCCTGTGTCTGCTGGCCAGGCAGCACCTCGCCCATCTCTGGGTGATGATTTGGCAGGTGTCCCTGCTGCAGCCCTGCTCTTGCTGTCCCCAGCTCTCCCACATTCCTTGTGATTCCAGCTCTGCCCCCCTGCCCCACTGCAGCAGTTGGTTTCAACTCTTGGTGGACTGAATTCATAGAAAGACCATGCAACGGCCCCTATCCTGGCCACACCCTTCCAGTATTCGACAAACTGTGCTCTCTCCATTCCCACACACCACCTTCCCCCTCCCCCACCTTTCACAGAGGCGCACGTCCCTCTCCCAACCACGACTACCAGTGCATTTCCCCCTTCTCTCTGCAAAGACCCCCAGCATTGCCCTTCACGTTACCACTCCCTCAGCTTACCCTCCCCTCTTCCATCCCCAGCTGTGCCAGGTGTTCTCTGTAGGAAAAAAAAACAAAACAATGACCTTCCCCAACTCCAGTCTTTGAATCTGTGCCCCCCACCCCTGCTTGCTCTCTCTTTCCCGGCACCACCAAATACCAGAGAGGGTCTGTGCGGCTGCCCGCCCCACCCCACTCCCAGTGTCCCCCTCCTCCTCCTTAATCCCCTGTGATCTGACTTTCCCCCCACTTCTCCACTCAAATGACTCCACAGTTACCCATAAACCCTAACTGACCTTGACTTCTACGCAGACTTCATACCTTGGCCACTCAAATCTCCTCACAACTCTCTTCTACTATGTTTCCTTCTTTTTGTTTTTGTTTTTTCAATTTTTAATTGAGATAAAAAGCACACACTATGAAATGTATCCTCTTAACCACTTTAAGAGTACAGTTCAGTAGTGTTAACTATATCCACATTGTTGTGGAATGAATCTCTAGAACTTTTTCATCCCTCGAAGCTGAAAGTCTGAGTCCCCCAAACAGCAACCCCCGAGCCCCCTTCCTCCCAGCTCCCGACAACCAACACCCTGCTCTCTATGGTTGGACTACTTGAGGTACTCCATGTAAGTGGAATCACACACTATGATTGCCCTTCTGTGACTGGCCTATTTCACTCACTGTAATGTCCTCAAGGTTTATCCACATTGTAGCATGTGATAGGATTTTGTTGCCTTTCGAGGTTGAATTTGAGGTTTCCCTTATCTATATACACCACAATTTTTTAAATCCATTCGTCTGCTGATGAGCATCGGGGCCGTTTCATGTTTTGCTGTTGTGAATATGCTGCAGTAAATGTGGGTGTGCAGAGCTCTCGTCCACACTGCGTCTGCTGTGGCTCCTTTATTGGAGCTATTTGGTTCCTCTAGTCCTTTCTTTCTTCCCTGCTAGATCTTACCCTGAGGCCTGGCCTTCACTTTTCAAGTACCCTTTCCAGACTTCCTCTCCAGTGGCCCCGCTGCTGACCTCAAAGCCAAGGGCAGTGGGGCAGCGTGGGGCAATGGAAAGGGCACTGGGTCAGGACTGGGCTCCTGGAGCCTCCATCTGCTGTAGACTCACACAGGCTTCCCAGTCTGCACATCAACTTCTTCACCTCTCGGATGGAACGAATGCACAGGAAGCTCTTTAAAAAAAAAGAATTCGTCCTTACTGGTGTGGCTCAGTGGACTGAGCGCTGGCTTGCAAACCAAGGGGTCACCAGTTCGATTCCCAGTTGGGGCACATGCCTGGGTTGCGGGCCAGGTCCCCTGGGGGTGTGCAAGAGGCAACCACACATTGATGTTTCTCTCCCTCTCTCCTTCCCTTCCCCTCTCTCTAAAACTGAATAAATAAAATCTTTAATTTTTTTTTTTTTACTTTATTTTAGAGAGAGCAGAAGGGAGGGAGAAAGAGAGGGAGAGAAACATCAATATGAAGGAGAAACATTGGTTGTCTTCTGCCTTCTGCAAGTGTCCCAATGGGGACAGAGCACAGATCCTGTAATCTAGGCATGTGCCCTGACCGATAATTGACCCAGTGACCTTTTGGTTTTCAGGGTGACGCCCAACCAGCTGAGCCATGCTGGCCAGGGAAGTCAGCTCTTTCTGATTTAATCATTGTGGATCTCTCACTGCCCAGTGTAGACCTCTTCCCCTTCTCTGCCTTCTCCCAACGTCACTCTGAAGTGTACTTTTTCCTCATTTCTCTCTCAAATACGATTTAGAGACTGCTTCCTCTGTGCCATCTTCCCAGTCTGCCCCAGTGCCGGCTGATTACTCTTCCCTAACACTTTGTTTCCCCAGCACTCACCATCTGTATCACTCACGAAGCACTTGGACCCAACCATATGAGTGTAAGACACAGAGTGGACAGCACATGTGCAGAGAGAACCCCTGCTGACTGTTAGCAGTCTGGGGACAGGAGTATAGCAGCCTCGTCTCCACAGCCTTCGGTGAGGGGCACTATGCTACAGCAAAGGGGGCCTTAGGAAGTGCTTACCTTTTATGAGAGGAAAGCCTTGGTCAGTCTCATGTGGCCTCTCTGCAGGCTTTAAAATTGGTGACAGATTTTCCTGGTCACTCTTTTCCTTTGGCCTCTGGTTGCAGTGCTCTTGCCACCTTCCTACCTTGCTGGCCACTGCTTCTCATTTCTTCCAAGGGCTCCTCTTCTCTTTCATTAAGAGTTTATTTACTTATTTTTAGAGAGAGAGGGGAGGGGAAGGAATGGAGAAAGAGAAGGAGAGAAACGTCAACTGGTCGCCTGTCTATGCATCCCAACCAGGGACTGAACCTGCAACCCTTTGCTTTGCAGAACGACGCCCAACCAACTGAGCCACACCAATAAGAGATGTAAAAAAAAAAAAAAGATCCAAGTGCTCCTCTTCCCTTATCTCCCTTTAAAATTCCCCTTGGAGACAAATGTCAGGTGTCAGGGGGAGACTAAATGTGGTGAGGGGTGGGCAGGGCAGGGGAGAGTAATGGGGGAGAAAGGGAGCCACTTGTAATTGAACAATGATAAAAAAAATTAGCCCTGGCTGGTGTGGTTCAGTGGGTGGGGCATCATTCCGCAAACTGAAGGGTCTCCAGTTCGATTCCCAGTCAGGGCACATGCCTGGGTTTCCTGCCAGGTCCCCAGTGGGAAGAACACAAGAGGCAACCACACATAGATGTTTCTCTCCCTCTGTTTCTCCCTCACTTCCCCTCTCTCTAAAAATAAATAAATAAATAAAATATTTTAAAGAAATTACAGGTCATAATATAAATACATATATACATACATACATACATACATACATACATATCGATGTCTTCCATGCCTATTGCTTCCACTTTCACCTGTTATTAAGGGTGCCCATTCATTTATTTGCTCATCAGCAGATATGCACTCAGTACCTGCTATGGTTTAGAACCTGGCCTAGACCGCTGGGGAGGCACCTGAATAAGAACTGCTTCCTGCCAGCGCGGAGCTCACAGTCCAGCCGTGGGCCAGGGTGGCCACAGTCAGAGCTGGGTAGGACAGTGTCTTGCTAGCTCAGGTTTCTTGCTTCCCCTGTAGCTACTGGTTTTCCCCACCTAGATACTTCATAGGCACGTCTAATGCAACATGTCCCAAACTGAATTTATCCTCTCCTCCAAACCTGCTTCTCCTCCCTGTTCCCCATGCTAGTCAATCACATTGCAGTGAAGCAGCATGGGGCCCATCCCACATTTCTTCTCTCCCCCCCCCTTTACATTCAGTGGGCCACCAGTCCCATCTCCTCCTCCTCCCGCTCCGTGACATTTCTGAGCTCTCCCTGTCCCAGCAGTCCCAGGCCACTTCACTGACAACCATAGCCAAACCCCATCTCTTCCTACTCCCATTTTCATGCACCTTCTCTGGTCAGGGCCAAGGGGAGCTTACTAAGAAAAAAGTTAGCCTAAAACTCCAAATGGCTTTTCATTATTCAAAATGAAAAACTAAAACTCCTTGGGATAGCATGCTTTGCCACCAGCTCCTCCATACACACCTTGGCAATACTTGCAGTTCCTGAGCCCCTCTGTACAATGTCCTAGAAAACTATACTGCATGTCCAGCATTATTCCAGGCCTTGGTTACACAGAGATGAATACCATCCAGCCTAAAGGAACTGACAATGAGGTTCCTGAGGGCTTGCTATTTCTGCCACCTAGACCATCATCCTTTGTGGATTCTCCTCTAATCTCCCAATCAGAGTTGGTGCCCTATGCACACCTCAGTATAACTCTTGTTATACAATGTTGCAGCTTTGCTGTGTTTTCATGTGCCTAGCATATGATAGGTACTCCCTCAAAGCTGAAATCCATTCATTTATTCAACAAATATTAACTGAGCATTTGCTACATGACAGGCACTGTTAGATGCTGAGGGCAAATCAACGAACAAAAAGACACAACCCTTGCTGCCATGAGCACACATTCTAGTGTGGCAGACGGATTATGTATTGAACTGAGTAAAGTAGGCAGGGTGCATTAGAAGGTGATGTGCTATGGAGAAAAAAAATGAGTGGGAAGATGGAGAGTGGGAGGGGTGCCTGCAGTTTTGAACATGGAATTTAGAACGGGTCTCACTGATAATGCAAAGTTTGAACAATGAATTGAACAAAGAAACAAAATAAATGAAAATATGAGCTATGTGCCTGCCTGCAATAACAGCCCCCAGAAACAAGCAGCTGCCGATGCAGAGGCCCTGGGGCAGGAGTGACAGCGGTCGATGACGTGGGAAGGATGATGGGAGCGTGTGGGGCAGTTGTCAGCCGTGGCAAAGACTTTGGCTTTGGGGGGATTTAAACAGAAGAGGGACCTCATCTGACTTAGCCTTTAAAAGTATTACTCTG